TTGAATTAATATTTTGTTTAATTTGAAATTCTTTTCATATGAACACAATATCAGGTAGTTAAAGAAATCATCGGTTATGCTATAGCTATAAATGTCTCTGTGGCATTTGATTTGAACCAACCACTCTTAAAGAAAGGAAATGTGCGTAATATTTGGTGCAATTCCATCAAAGGCAATGATATATCCTGTAACTACTTGATACCGTGTTCATATGAAAAGAATTCCAAATTAAACAAAATATTAATTCAATATTGATTTCTTTCGCAAAACTTACTGATATCTCTATATTATACTACAAATTGACGAATTAAATCTATGTTCACAGAAATGAAACCTAAGGAAGATTGAAGAAGGAAATGTGCATAGACATTGAATAAGGGAGTACCTCATAATCAGAGATTCCATCAGACATTACATCTATTCTAGGAAGTTCCCACCAGGCTTTCATGATTAACGCATGCCTCTGTTGAAAAGTCTATGCAACAAATATCAATATCTGATATAGGTTCCTCTTCCTCTTCGAAATTGTACCATGCCAGCTTGTTTTTGTTTACTTCCAAAACCATTGTACTTTTACTCTTTGAATTGTCAATGGGTCTTATGTACGTGCAATTCGTACTTGTTTGAGGAAAGATTTTAGTACAAGATTCTTTGATTCCGTAATCCTTCATCACCCACAATTCATTACTGTATTTAACATAATGGTAGCAAAACAAACAAAGGAACAGTCCTCAAGATTTTCTCGCAAGTTGGATCGGATAAGTCAAAACAAGGGACAAATATAACTTCATCATTTGCAAGATCAAAAGCCACAATGAGGCTTTCATCATCAGTGTAATCCACCAACCCGCGAGAGCTCCTTTCCCTAATTCAGTGTATGACACCACTAACAAAAATGTCATAATTACTATGATGGCTTATGTGCAGAATGACAAAATTGTTGTAATAATTCAAGTTCAATGAAACTCCAACACTCTTCCAATCTGATTTCAAGCTGTAAAACTCACAAAGATGGTCTTCTGGTTTGAAACGCTTACTTGTCATTATCGACTTAATTATCTTGTAGTCATCTTTAGTACTATCGTACCCAAACCCATATTTGAGTAATTAGTGATGATCGAAAGACCGACGAAAATATTCGACTTCTGAATATGGTAACTCAAAATACTTGTGGGTCGCTAAATTTCACAAAACTATAGCTGAATCAACAAAACAAAGAAGATCATTGCAAGAATCTACCAAATTAATCGTATACTTTCTCGGCCTATGTTTGAATCTATTACCAAAGGGTTGATCTAGTGCCTCGGTGCGATCGTATCTATGACCAAATGGGTGATCTAGTTCCTCATCGGCTCTAATGGCAATTCCAAATAAATCCAAGTGCAGCGAGACAAAATTAATATCAGTCCTCCGATTAATTACCTCTACATTGAAGCCCACTGCAATTGATCTGTCCATATGAATCTTGATGAGGAAAACACACCTAAGCGCAAAATTTTGATACACACCTAAGCGCAACATCGATCGCACGACAACCTTGATTGGACTTCCTCCACCAAATCTTGTGGGATGTAGGACATTTTTCAGGCGTGGCAAATTGAATGCCAAACCTCGTGGATATTTTCTACAATTGCATCATAAGCTTGAAATTTCTACACTAAGGTTCCACTTCCTGCAATAAAAGAAATGTATCTCATGATTCTCATCAATAAGATCTCTTCTTACTTGTTTTTATATTTGCTGGAAGAGTTTTAATTAAGTGCGTGCTTGTAGTTGGAACTGCATTAATCATGCATATAAGTTGAGATAAACAAAAAAAATTAGATCTGAAGGCTGAAACTCACACCGATGAACAGTCCTCTAGTGCTTATGGTCCTCGAATGCAAAATTAACTTCTATGAATAATTTGTGCTTTTCTAGATTTGTTTATAAATTGCTAGGGTTCTACAAAATGCGTGTTTAAATTAAAGTTTGATTTTGACCTTTAAATTATATTATGATTACAAGTTCTCTTTATTTTAGGATAATATATTAAAGTTTGACTTTGACCTTTAAATTATACTATGAAAAGTGGAGTTCCTTTTTGAAAAACCTAGGCCTTAATGCTAAAACCAATCATAAAAGAGAAATGATAGCTATGCATAATAACCCGGTTGTAAACCTCTACTTAAAATATTATATAATTCCCAAAGTAATCTTCGATTCCATGAACTAAACATAATTTTTATACAGTAATCTGAAAACTCAACAAGATAAAATAGTCTTGTATCATCTATAATATTCAAGAAGTTACTAAGTTGTCTCTTTTTCATAAGAATAATCTTCAATTAGTGCTTTAGCAACTGGGGCTCAAATTTCTTTTAGCACCACCAGTATATTCTAATTGTACTCATGCTCTCCTTTTCAGTTCTACTTTTTAGTTGTTGCTTGCTTGTATTAGTACAATGTACTATGAAGGTCTAGAAGTTGACTGGGTAATGGCTGAGGCTGATGCTAAATCTCTTTATAAAGGTGGGGAAAAGATGCTGGGGACTGATGAGAAGATTTTCATACACATTTTCTCTGAAAGAAGTAGGCCACAGTAAGCTGCTATTTCTTCTGCTTATCATAGGAAGTATGACAACTCACTGAAAACGGTATATTGTTTCCTTTCAGCATTTCGCTTAAGCTTTCCTATGTCTGTTGACTAAATAATTGTAGGCAGAAGTAAAACAGCATGGCGCTTTAAATCTGCTAAGGTAAATAATACTTTGCATCTAGTGGATGACTTAATTTGGCTGTAACACATACAAATAAATAGTTTTGGAATAGTAGTGCAAAAACCACGTACCTTTTGGCTTTTGGCTAACAGAAAGAGAAACATGAAATGAAAAATCATGCATTTCTTTCCTTTAATGTAATAATGAAGATGGAATAGTTTACATGTTTGCTGCTTGTCAGTAATAGAAAAGATCCTGTGGAAAACTGTATTCTATGTTTTCAAATCTTATCACAGTGCTATAATCCTATTTCTTGTGTTTGAAAGTTGATAGAAATAATACTTTTGTTTAATCTTATCACAGTGATAAGACTTTTTCTGATCTTAAACAAGTATCTTGTTAAATTCATTTTCTTGTAATACCCTGAATATAGGACTGCAAAATGTAATTAATTCAAATGGACTTTGTTACACGGACGGAGACAGAAGTTTGGTATTGTAGGGTCAAAAATTGAAATACAATTTTTTTAAAACGACATATAATTAATGAAGATAAGTCAGTACACAACTACAACTGCAACCTACTACGTCTTCGACTTCCAAGTTCCAAACGACATTTATAACCAATTATTGCAAACAAAATTGTTGTTTTTTACTTCTATCATTTTCATACAAAATATTTGAATATTTTGAATATTTTAACAACTAACAAGCAATGGTTCACGGAATGTCCACAACACATTCTAATAAGCTTGTTCTTACTAAACCTATGGAAATGACAACTTTCAGCATAATCACATCCTGAATTTTCTACATAACTTTCTCCTACAATATATGACAATTTAGTTAACCAGACCCCACTATGATCGTCATGTACTTCAATATTTTCAAAAATCAAAAGCATTTCCACTACACGAAGAAGCTGTTTCTGCTATTGAATCCCCACAATTTGTGGTCAAATGAATTTCTCAAAGCATTTCCACTACGACAACGACACTACCCGAAGAGATGTTTCTCAAATTCAAATGAATTTTAAAATAAAAACATGTAAAATAAAATGAGTAGGCTGTTGATTTGTTACCTAGACTGAAGAAAAATCACAAAATTAGCACGAGAAGATAAATCCTAAAATACAAATGGCGTGGTCTTATTCTTCAGGCTGTGGATTACCCCTAATTTCTCCTCTAGGCTAGACGATTGTTCATGTAGGGAGGAGCTCCCTCACTCTGATCGATCCATGGAAGTTTCTATGTCGATTCTTCTCTCTGTGTGGTGCAAAGTCCAAATGATTCTGTGAGGCTGTGATGCCATGGTCCAGCCCACTTAGGCAATGATGATGGCCTTCGGCCCAACTACCAAGTTCCTATCAAACTAATAGAAGTCCAGTTTCTGCCCCAG